ACCACAAGATGGCCGTGTTTCACACATCCTGAAGCTATACGCCTTGAGTTGCAGTCCCTGTTGATTTTCATCTTCCATTGAGGTATAACTCTCAGATATTTCCACAATAATCAATTATGAAACAGTAACAGTCAAGGTTATTTTTTATTACAAAACATATTTAATAGAATTGTTACATAGCCTGCCAATCATAGGCAGAATGAATGATTCTAAATAAGCATTAACCCTTGGCTTACAATGTCCTCACCCCAGCGGAAATTCAATTAACATAATAAAATAATCCCCCATCAAAATCTGTCTGTTTAAGCTAGAGATATGTTTTTTTGCATGGGCTGCATCTCAATCCACTGCATCCGTCGATATCGCCTATCCGCATCTGTGGTAAAAGGTGGCGGAGCTATTGCAGTGTTTGTCAGACCATGAGACATCCCGAAAATCGGTCTCCTCACAAAAATATCTGTAGCATCTGAACCGTTTGGCCTACAGACTATTGAAAGATGAGACTCTTACGAACACGACGGTGTTCTCTGTTTTGCTCTACCTCTCCCACAAGCCTCACAAGACTCGTCTGAAGTCGGTACAGCCTCTTCTGCCAACTTCTGTCTGTAGCGTCTGGAACAGTTTGGGCTACACGCTAATGTGACCCTTCTGTGGAAAGCTGAGACTCTCACAAACATGACGATGTTCTCCGTTTTGCTCTAGGACGCCCACAAGCCTCACAAGACTGAAGGTCCCGGTACCAGTTTAAAAATGAATGGAAGTATACAGTCAGGTCCATACATATTATTTTAGCTGTCTACCACAGCATATTGGAGTTGGAATTCAATAATGAATATGAGCTGAAAGCAGACTTAATTTGAGGGTATTTACATCCAAATCAGGTGAACAGTGTAGGAATTACAGCACTTTTTATATGTGGTCCCCCCCTTTTTAAGGGACCAAAAGTAATTGGACAATTGGCTGCGCAGCTGTTCCATGGGCAGGTGTGTTATTCCCTCATTAGTTAATTTACAAGTAAGCAGATAAAAGGTGTAGAGTTGATTTTATGTGTGGCATTTGCATTTGGAATCTGTTGCTGTTAACCCTAGATATGAAGTCCAAAGAGCTGTCACTGCCAGTGAAGCAAGCCATCATTAGATAGAAAAATCTAAACAAACCCATCAGAGAGATAGCAAAAACATTAGGTGTGGCCAAATCAACTATTTGGTACATTCTTAAAAATAATTTCCCTGGTGAAGAAAAACCCCTTCACAACAGTTGGCCAGATCAAGAACACCCTCCAGGAGGTAGGCGTATCTGTGTCAAAGTCAACAATCAAGAGAAGACTTCACCAGAGTAAATACAGAGGGTTTACCACAAGATGTAAACCATTGGTAAGCCTCAAAAACAGGAAGTCCAGATTAGAGTTTAAAAAAACATCTAAAAAAGCCTGTACAGTTCTGGAACAACATCCTATGGACAGATGAGACAAAGATCAACTTGTACCAGAATGATGGGAAGAGAAGAGTATGGAGAAGGGAAGGAACTGCTCATGATCCGAAGCATACCACCTCATCTGTGAAGCATGGTGGAGGTAGTGTTATGGCATGGGCATGTATGGCTGCCAATGGAACTGGTTCCCTTGTATTTATTGATGATGTGACTGAAGACAAAAGCAGCAGGATGAATTCTGAAGTGTTTAGGGCTATATTGTCTGCTCAGATTCAGCCAAATGCTTAAAAACTCATTGAACAACGCTTCACAGTGCAGATGGACAATGACCCGAAGCATACTGCGAAAGCAACCCAATAGAAGTGGAATGTTTTGCAATGGCCAAGTCAATCACCTGACCTGAATTGAATTGAGCATGCATGTCACTTGCTGAAGGCAAAACTGAAGGCAAAACGCCCCAAGAACAAGTAGGAACTGAAGACAGCTGCAGTAAAGGCCTGGCAGAGCATCACCAGGGAAGAAACCCAGCATCTGGTGATGTCTATGGGTTCCAGACTTCAGGCAGTCATTGACTGCAAAGGATTTGCAACCAAGTATTAAAACTCACAATTTTATTTATGATAATGTTAGTTTGTCCAATTACTTTGAGCCCCTAAAATTGGGGGGGGGCTATGTATAAAAATGGTTGTAATTCCTACACGGTCCATAATAATTTTGACAAAACCCTTAAATTAAAGATTAAAGTCTACACTTGATTGCACATCTTTATTGTTTCCTTTCAAATCCATTGTGGTGGCGTACAGAGCCAAAATGATGCAAATTGTGTCACTGTCCAAATACTTATGGACCTGACTGTATATGGAGATAGTTTAGTGCCTAAAATAAGGGGATAAATACATGTAAAAACAAATAAAAATAGTTTCCTGATCTTTCTTATATCTCTCAGATATACTACAGACACTTTAGAATAAACTTCCTTAAGAACATTTTTTTTACTATCTGTTGTTCCATGTAGTGAATCTGTTATTCAATGCATTTCTATTGGTTAATAGCAGTAATGCCAAATTCAATGTTTCATCCAATATAATTTTTTTATACCTGAAGGGGTCTTAAATTCAAAATCAAATAGCTAAATAATCCTTGGTATGACCATTTTATAACAATTCCATATGTTAGTTTAGAACCTCCACTGGCTTAGACAGGATTTAGACTCTAGATTAATATCATTAATAATACTGAGCAGATACAATATGTTTCAAGATCTGTCTCACACTGGCCGTAAGCATATGAACAAGGTTACAAGGCGGGTCATGGTTAGCTTAGCAATATGAGAGCCAGTCTGTCAAACATTTGGACTAGAAAAATAAATAACCTCTTTAACATTATATTAAATTAGAATATCATTGTAACAAAACAAAACAAAAAGCATTATCTTCCAAATGATCACACCTATGTCTGACATTGTTGAACTTGACATACTGGTGTGTTCCAAGAGTGTGGCAGAGAGACCAGAGTACTGGAGTTCGGTTGGGTACTCCTGAGGCCACACGGGATTGGTTGAGTACCGTTTAGCCATGACTGGTGGATGGATGCATGCACACTGCACAAGGTCCTTCACGAACCAATGTCTACTGTCTACACTGACTCTGAACAGAAATAAATACAAACAACTGTTCCATACAGAATTTATCGTTTTCCTTTTAAATAGTCCAGTCCTTTATTTCAGCATAGAGTTGCTAGTGGTGGGATTTTCCTTCTCTCCCTGGTAGCATTAAGAAGGATGTGGGGCCATTTCTCCAATGCAGCCAGTCACCAGAACCACCTCCAGTGCCAAAAAAGAACATTTATATAATGCGCTCTTCCTCCTCTTTAGGCTCTCTGCCTTGGAGAAAATAGAGAAGAAAGCAGGGAGAGAAAAAGAGTGGGATAGTTTCACATGTTGAGAAAGACCTGGGTTTTCTCACGGGCTGAGCAATGGGCATGACTGTGTTGCTAACTAGGGGAGGGGAGTTTAGGGTCGGTTAAAGGCCCCATGTGCCAAGTTTCAGAATGTTCAGCGCCTGTGGATTCAGGGGAGGGCAAATCCCTGTGGCTACAGAACAATGCAGAGCAGAGGAAGACAGACAGCTAGCTAGCTAGCTACCCAGTAGCCAGAGGGCTCAAAGCTGCTGCAGCTTCACACATACAGAGAAAAGCTAGATTCACTTATGCAGGGAGACAGGGACACTTGTGAGCAACTAAACAAGTCACCACTACATCTACAGGACTGCTGAATGTGCAGCCAGCTGGAAAACCTTCAATGGAAACAAATGCTGAGTCAATGATCTCGTTTTTTAATCTTTCATTTGACTTGAAATATGGAAAGAAAACAATGTCGGGGCATGCCATATTTTCAAACGTTCCATTCCCACGTTTGGTGTCAAATTATGTCTTATTTAGTGATATTGGGGAAATCATGTTGTTGCTGTGGTTAAACTGATGTTTAATTGCAGAACAACAGGGAGAGGAAAATCGAGTGTTGGCCTACATTTCCTTATAGTGGTTTTCCACACAACATTGTCATTTGTTTTCTATAGAAACAGAGAAGATGTGTTCCTCCAGTGGTGGGCTAGGCTGCAGACTCCCATACAGAGACTATAGTCAGCTGTTGGACTGTGGAATTACAGTAGCCTATGCAGCTTAATACAGGGTCTGACATGGCCTTGCTTGAACCAGCAAAACACTGCTTGCATACACTATGCACATGATAACAATCCCCAGATGAAGATTATTCAACTGTTAATTTTAGCTACTCAAACCAATCAGGAACTGTCATTCATACAGTGATGTAGTGTCCTGATTTGTCGCATGATCTATGTTTTGAACACAATAACATCCCTAACCTGTCGTCCTAACAATAGGTCTGGTGAGGAAAAGTTGCATTGAACCAAAAAAGTTAATTTCCCATTCAATCCCAATTAGAAAAGTCAAGCTATCACTCCACATAAAACAACAATCTTTCATAATACTGGTTGTAATGACAACACTGCAGATTAAGGCCGATACTGAACACAGTTCTATGAAGTACACCAAGCTCAATGACACAGCAGAATCACACAGAGAACCCTAATGCACCATTTTAGAGGAGAGAGGACACAGGAAGCAGTTTGGTAAGCAAGAAATGGGCAATCTCCTTATTTCCTTATAACCCCCATCTTGAGACATCAACTTGAGGATACAGGATGAGGCACACTGGTGATCTCACAGACAATTTACAATGTAAGCCAGTGATATGAAATATCTCTCTATACAATATTTTTGTGAGTAATACTACAGTCTGTCTGTCTGTCCGTCCATATAGCCGTTGAACCCCAGGATCTGCTCTCCGATTCAACAGAGACAAAGCTGCTATGACGAACATTGGCCTATAAGCAGCAGTAGCAAAGTTTATCGGTGCAGTTACGCAGCTACTGAAACATTTGTGGCCAACATGCTGGACAGAGCTTTCCACAGCTAGGTCACATGACATGGGTTCCTTTCTGACAGCATCTGAGTAGGCAGTGATGCTAACCGTCAGCCATTTTGGCTCCTCATTCCAGGATGTCCGTCTCAAAGGGGACCAGATGGTAGTAAGACAGGTTGGTGACGTAGGCATCTGAGTCATCGTCACTGATGTCTGGTTCCACCGTCAGGAATTCCCTGCCATCCTCATACCTGAGAGAGGAAAACACCAGACATGGGTATCCCTCTACTCACTGGGCACACACTGGTTGAATCATAGTTGCTTCCACATCCTTTTAATTAAATTACGTTAAATCAATGTGGAATAGATGTTGAATTGACATCTGTGCCCAGTAGGAATGGACCAAGTGGTCAACCCATACTAAGACACTACATTTACTAAAACATCTGTTCAATATACTGAATCCAAACAGCAAAGCACTATACAACATCCTGAACTTATCTTCCAATCCTGCCTACATTCCTTTATTTACAATAGCTTCACCATCCCACTGCTGTGATGAATTCTAACTATAAGTATGATTGTGTTGTATGATATGATCATGCACTTGTGCAATATGACATTTCAGCATTGTAAAATATGGTGAAAAGTATTTGGTTGTGGAGACTGTGAATAAAGGCCCCTCCCTAGCTTTCCTCCTCACCCCACCCAGGGAAGGAAGAGGTGCACTGAGACACTTCCTGAGCAAGGGGACCCTGGAACTGCTTTGCATTCAAGGAATGCATGGTACTCACATACTCAAAAAGGCACACACAGTCACTTGTGATCCTAAAAGGTCCCTGTAGGTGTGTGTGTAGTAAAGAGAATGTGTACTGTACGAAAAGTAACAGGATATATCCTGCTTGTATAATAAAATAGGCTTAAATTCAGGAGAAAAACAGAATGACTGAGGTTGAAGAAGACAATAGAAGAGGGTTAACACGCATACTGACATGCTTCTCTCGTTTTGTGATGCAGGGAGTTACAGTCCAAAGTCAACACTGTAGAAGAAATATAACAATAACTCCTACACACACAATTTTACCTCTGCTATGAGGTTGAAGAAATGCCCATTTCTGTCTCAATATACAATGAAATTGATATTGACTGGCAAGGTCAATCTAACAGGTAAAATAAGTCATAAAGTAATGTGCTACTTACAGGTGTTCTGCAGAGTCAGCAGCAGAGTCAGTGGATGAGGGTCTCTCTTTGTCCTGTGGCAGACTCTCGTCAAACACAATGGTCTCAGTGTTGGCCAGACAGAAGCCATTTGAACGCATGATCTCTGAAGGGCACAGAACATATTCTACAGTTTAGGACACGAACAGTCTACCCCATGTTTTGTCTGTAAGGAATTCTTTATAAACGCAAGGCACATTTCTGTGAAAACAGACAATACAATTCCAGCTTATCTTATCCTATCTTAACTGTTACTCAGAGGTTTCCTGGTTAGGATGTCAAGTGGGGCATGCTGTTGTTGTTGAATTGCATTGGTTGTTTGGGTGGTTAAAGGGACGTTACTTAGTTAATACTGGGAAGAAAGCACAGTGTTTCCCCTGTGTTTCACCATGAATCAATACCTGATATCTTGTATGGACTCTGGAAGCATGGCTGGATCTTGTGGACGTTGTCATTCTTTAGCACTTGGTCCAGCGGTGATCGCTCAAAGAATGTCAACACCACCTCTGACCTAGAATACTGTGGAGACAGACAGTACAGACAGTATGAGCATGGGTTATATTTATGAGAACCATACGAAATGCATTATAATTCATCTGAGTCAAATGTGGTATGTTTGAAGGTGTATAAGTGAATAGGTGTGCACACATGTTAATCAAATCCAATATGTGTACAGGGGGCAGTACTAGACTAGTAGTGACCCACCTTCCATGGCATGTTGATGGCATTCTTCAGTAGCCTCTCCACCTCATTTAGTTTCAGCTCAATGTCATTGGCCTCTTTAATCTTAACCAGACCTAAACACAAAATGACACAAACATAATGCAGAGTCAATGGTTATTACATGGTTATTACACTTTTCTTTTAAAAGTAATTTCACAAAACTGAAAAGCTTTGGTCTCAAGTAAATTCTCAGGTAACAAACATGGTTAACAAACAAGGTACACATTTAAATCGACTTGATTCCCAAGACAAACCACACGCCATCATTTCGAGAGTCTGAGCTTTCAGACCAAAATAACTCCCCTACTGAGAGAACATGAGGTAAATCCTATCTGTGCATCCACCATAACAAAAGGGCAGCTACTTCGACCTTTGTGTCAACTAGCATCTTATCTATCCACAGGCCAGGACACACAACAAAGGCTAAATGGGAGGAGGTCCCAATTCAACTTTACTCATGTAAAAGGTTGCCAAAGAAATGTAATTGAAAAGGTGGCAATCAGTTAAATGCAATAACCTTTATCACAATGCTCCTGTGATATTTGTTCTGGGCACAGCAAGTACAGAGAAACACAAACAGACTTCTTTAAGTTAAGTGGACATAGTTTTAAGAGCACGCAACTGCAAGTGTCACATGTGACCCGTTTCAGGAAACTAGGCATATGTCGCAAGTCACGAATTCACAGGAGAGCCATTTTAAGTATTTTTTTATTCTTTTTTTATGTGTTTTTTGGCACAAATGCCTTCTGGAACATTTGAACTTTCATGTGCCTTAATAACAAACGTGCATGCCATTTGTAAATACGAATACAATTGTTGAATTACGAGCCTTGTTGGTTAAGCCCCAGAAAAAGACAGCAACCTTCCCACTAGCCATGATTGGCTGAGATAATGAGTGGACTGGACATGCCGAGAGAGGAGTTCGGATTGGTCTGCCATTTAGAAGGCTGTCTGTGTTGGTAATCCTGTCGAACGCAACTTTTTAAACAAATGTATTGTGTAGAGGAGCTGCATAAGTGTTGCTCTCCACTTTCTGGAGGATCGAGTTTTGAAATCAGTGGAATATGATCGCTAAAGAGATGGCGAAAACACCTGTCTCCGGATTACATCTTCAAACTTAGGGCAACTGTGGCATGGCATCCAAGGGAGACGCGTCCATCACATGCATGATGATGTATACAGGTAAGACAGACTAGCTAGTTACATTTTCAGATATTACACGTTTCTAATTTTGACAGAAAGTGGATTAATTTCAAGCTAAAGTGTACTGTTAGCTAGCTAACGTTAGCCGGCTGGCTCCCTAGCTAGCGTTACTTGTATGACGTTATTATTCGTATCCCAGAACCGTTTGCTTTGCTAGTTAGAGCCTAATGTTAGCTAGCTAACATTGAACCTGGTTGGTTAGCTCCCAGCAGATTCATGCAGGATAGTAACGACATGATTTGGCACTATGTTCATTGTTGTTTAACTAGCTAATGTTAGCTGGCTGGCTCGTTAGCTAACGTTACGTGACGTGTGTGATCTTACACATTGTTTACCTAGCTAGGTTCATTATTTACCTAGCTAGGTAGCTACATGTCTTAAGCTAAAGTGTACAACACCCGTTGAATATGGCTGGTGTCAGTAAACGTCGGCATAAAAGCGTAAGTAAATTGTTGCCAGCAGAGCTGGTTAGGCTGTTTTTATGTTATCCAGAGGTTAACGAATCATCGGCCAGAGCGTCAAGTGTGCGCTCTGAACACTCCTAGAGCAAAACGAGATGGGTGGGGATAAAGCTTAAGAGGGTGTGAACGATGCTGAATGGGTGTAGACAAAGAAGAGTTCTTCACTAGATACCAAAACATTCAAATGCCATTTTCTTACATTTTACGTTACATTTTAGTCATTTAGCAGACGCTCTTATCCAGAGCAACTTACAGTTAGTGAGTGCATACATTTTTCATACTGTTTCTTAAAAGTGAGTTTACAAGTTTTGTTCCTCAAAAGTGCAGCATATGATATGCCATTTTGTAGCTCTGAGTCTCTACTTTTATCCAATGTAAAAAACAGCATTTAAAATGTTGCTACATAAGACCAAATCCAGGTGGTGAGTCACATATAGGGTAACCAGCAAGAATGCCAACATGGCTCACAAAATGCTAGGTAATAGGCAGTACAGAATCTGAAAGTGGCATCAGCAGAATATAGGGAAACTGCAGTATAGATGTACAGTACACCTATCTACATTAGCAGCATGATACATGGATTAACAATGTAAGGTATAAGAGACGTTTTAGATTATATTAAAAAGCTGGGTGGAAAGTTTCCCTTGGGGAATAAGCACTGGCAATAAGGACTTTAATATTGGCAAAGTATGAGATGTACCAGGGATACATCTGAACACAATGTCCAAAAAAAAGAGTGGAAAATAGCCTGCTTAGTTGGTTTGGACCTATAATAAACAAGGGGATGTGTGAGTGAATGTGTACTTAAGCCTTTACAATCCAATGATGCAGAGTGAAAACTAGTGACTATGACGCATTGGTCACTAGTTCTGCCTTCCAGTTCCAACTAATCCCTGTCACAACTTCCGCCGAGGCTGCCTCCCCTCCTTGTTCGGGCAGGTTTCAGCGTTCGTTGTCACCGGCTTACTAGCTGCTGCCGATCCATTTATCATCACTCCACTTGTCTTGTCTAATTAATCACACACACCTGGTCCTTATCCCCAATTAGTCATTGTATAAGTGTTCCCTCTGCTTCCTTGTCTGTGTGAGTGATTGTTTGTAGTGAGCTGTGTGTAGCTCGGTTGAGCTACCCTTACCTTGTTGTTGCCAGGGTAGTAATTTACATTCCTGGCTACGTCATGGTAGAGTTACAGTGTGGCATTTTGAATATTATATGGTCTTCTCTTCTTTATTGGATGTCTCATTTGAAAGACATGCCTAATAACCCTGGGAGCATAGCCTCAAGGAAAAAGCAACACATCTATGCTACACATGGTGGTTGCTCAAATGCAACAAACATGAAGATAACTGTCCTCAGACACAAAACTCTAAACCGCCTCGCTGTTTTCCGTGTAAACAGATGTTTGAAACCTGTCCACAGGATTTCTCTTTTGATATGGAAACGTGAGCAACATGAGCACTGGCGTGGAATGACAAAATACATTTGTAGATTTAAAATGGAACACAACCACTAAACATATTCCTCTCTCAATTACTTATATTTTGAAGTTGAAACTAAATGTATAGAAATAGTGGTAGTCTGAAAATAAGCCATCAAATATTTTGAAACTAAAACCAGCTATGTTTGTTCCTACCAGGCTCCCTGAGTGCATTTCCTCACTTCCTGTGGAAGAGTTCATTTCCTGTCTCCACTTCCTGGAATCTCGTTGAGGAGGGAAACACTAAACTTGTGTGTGTTCTGTTCTCCCTGTGTAACACTATAAGTATGGGGACAAATTGGTCTAATAATTGTCCTCTCTACCAGTATTCAAACTGTTCCCATATGCACATCAAAGAATTTGCCTGCATAGGCCAACATTAGTTCATAGCCTACATTTAGTTGGCTGAGGAACACTGCACAGATACTGCTGGTATCTTTATCAACATAAATCAATGTTTTCCTGCACATAGTAGCGAACATATTTTTACTTTCTCACTTTTTTTAGTGTAGCTAAAACCATTTATGGTAATGGATTGTAATTAAACAGGCTAAAAACGTAATTAAAAAGTGTAGTTACACAATTAAGTACTCAATGTGATACCTGTTTGTGCTGTCATTTGCATATCAACCATGGCAGGAGGACGGGCAACATGACAGGAAGCATGAGCCTCCACATCATCCTTATACATATTTCAACATTTATCAGACATTATCAACAGCTATTTCACAATAACATCCTACAGCACATCAGACCGGCCCATGTCAGCATGATACTACAACATCCTAGCCTTTAGTAGGCCTTCCGAGTGGCGCAGTGGTCTAAGGCCACTAGAGATCCTGGTTCGAATCCAGGCTCTGTCGTAGCCGGCCGCGACCGGGAGACCCATGGGGCGGCGCACAATTGGCCCAGCGTCGTCCAGGGTAGGGGAGGGAATGGCCGGCAGGGATGTAGCTCAGTTGGTAGAGCATGGCATTTGCAACGCCAGGGTTGTGGGTTTGATTCCCACGGGGGGCCAGTATGAAAAATAAATAAAATAATGAATGCACTCACTAACTGTAAGTCGCTCTGGATAAGAGCGTCTGCTAAATGAGTAAAATGTAGTAGTGTCATGTACTGCAACATTATCTAACCACTATCTCCCCAGTTAGATGAGTATGTTCCATAAGGTGTTGCTGTTTGATCATTAGATACAGAGCACCAAATTCCATAATAAGACTTAGGTTAAGCCTTTAAACACAGTTCTGGGCTGTCCTCTCCGTCACCAGTCTGAGTCAGTTATGTCTGGATGTTTGGGCGGTGCCCTCATGACTGGCTCTCATACCAGCAGAACGAGCACATCACGTCCTGTCTGTGATGCCCACTCCAGGGTCACATGTCAGGTGACTGATGATGAAGCCCTAAGCAGGCCACAGTAGGGGCTAGCCTAAATATAGAAGGCCCACTCCTTCAGCCAGGCCTGTGTATCACCCTCTCACCACAATGACATCAACCCTGGAAGTTCTGCACGCCTTTCTTGTTGCCTAGGTACAGCACAGAAACAAGAGTAGGGCCAGAAACAGTGCGAATGAAGAACGCTGCATAGGGAAGAAAGGACAGCTAGAGCTAGATCCACTTTTCATCTGAGTGCCAATTAGAAGACAGATCTAAATTAAATATCGAGCCGAGGTGGAAATTAAAGGAAGGGCATGGGGGAATGGAATGGGATTAATCTGTGGCCAGCTATCCATCACTGACATGATTAAACTCTACCGGCACCACCACTGGAGTAACACCTCCATTCGTCTCCCAGTCGCAACCAACAAGATGAGAGCCACCGGAAAAGAAGAAGTGCAAAATGAGTCTTTTTTTTGCCCCATGTTTCTCTCTTCTCCCATCATGCATCACACATGGCCGAGACAGGAGGAGAGCCAATCATCAGCAGTGACAGGTATTTCGGTGTATGGGAAGGAAGCAGAGCCTTCCAGTCGCCACAAAAAGGCGACTGTTTACAAAACACACTTAGGCTGAGCGGGCACAGACAAAATAGAAGTACCAGAGAGGCTGTGCAGGGTGATAACCCAGCTAGCACATTTGGTTCCTTGGAAGTTGTGGGAACGTACGATTTTGGTTTCCCATTGGTTCTGGGAACGAAGCCATACGTTTCCTGACCGGTAAAACTGAACGTTTTTTAAACGTTCTGAGAACATGTTTATTTTTTTGCCTGTTCTGGGAATGTACATTTCTAGGTATAGCAGGGAGGTTCCTTTCACTGAATGTTTCAATAAGACTTTTAATAACACTGCTAGCTTAGTTTGGGATAACTGTTTTCAACTCCAAGCACAGATAGTAATTAATTTGCTTAGGCTTTAATCATGCAAACACATAAATGTTTTATTGTGGCATGGCATCAGTGAGATTCAAACATATGATCTCCTGTTCTCTATCAATGGAATTAGCCCACTGCGCCACCAGGATGGAGCTAGCCTGCAATGTTTGTCTTTTACTCATACGAAGCTGTTCATTTTAGTCTATTCAAACAGAACCCATTTCAAAGGAAACAAGCACTCATTAAGATTACACCTGCAGAAAATGTTATGCTGTAGTACTGAAATTCCCACAGAAGAACGTTATTTCTTAACATTCTCGGAACAATTTGAGAACATTACTTGAAATATAACCATGAGGAAACCTGCAGGAAACGTTATGCTGAAGTACTGAAATTCTCACCGTAGAAACATATGGTTCTCAGAACGTTATGGGCTAGCTGGGTATCCTGCACCATTCCCAGAACATTGTGGGAAGGTTGTATGCAAAATAACCATAGGAAAACCACGCTCTCACCAAGCTCTAAGAAACATATGGTTCTCTGAACATTATGCGCTAGCTGGGCATAGACGTGGCATGCACTGGGCATCCTGCCAGACAGCACCCATTCTGGGCAATGTCAGGGCACCATAGTGACAGACAGGGCAGCAAGAGGTACACAACCCAGAGCCATGTGTTTGGCTTTCATGTGTCACAATACTTTCCAACTGTCTGAGAGTTCTGTTTATCTTTACCCATTACTACGGGATAGGATCTACTTTTACTGCAGAACAAGCTGGTCAACAATTCAATCACGCAGGACATACAGTAGATTAGCCTAATCACAACCTAAACATTTGATAACATTTAATGTATTATTGAAATGGTCCACAAACACTCAATAGGGGGAGTGACTGAGTCTTTCAGCGTTATCGCAACATTATTAAAGCCAATATGCAATGGATAGGCCGCCTCCTAATTTTGTCCAAAACGTTCACAGACAAATCCACACATGAACCTTTTCCAATATGATTTTTCTTTTGGCAGTTAGTCTGTGCTATTATAAACCTAACCCATAACCTCCAGCTCTGAAAACCAAACAACCATAAAGGTGCTGCTGATAAGTGATAAGGATAGCCTAGTGATGGCTAGTTAAATCAGTCCTATTGCTCTTGACTTAAGTTCCAGTCAATCATGTTAGTGGGTTCCCAGAGAACCTAAAGCAGTATCGGGGAATCATGTAGACCAAAGAGCAGCTATTTGATAGCTCTGGTATTATGTGTCACTCCAAAGTGGACCCTATCCATTTTTAAACAGGCAGTGTCTACCTGGGTCATGAAAACAACAATTAGACATTATTTAGCCACTGTAAATAATACAGCCACTGTATCAACGGATATATCTATATCAAATGTGCCCACATAATTCCCACCTGTCAAAAATGCCCATATGAATACAATAATTGATGACAAAGTTCCCAATACTTCAAAACATTGGCTGATCTGTTTTTTACTAATTGGTATTTTGACAAATCAGATCAGCTCTGAAAAATATCTGATGTGAAAATATCTTATGTGACTGGTCAAAAGACCAATTAGTGGAAAAAACATCAGAATTGGGCTGCCTGTGTAAACGCTGCCATTGTGTTGTGGCTATTGTGTCTTCAAATGACCATATCATTAATCAATTACTTAATTGATTAAACCCAATTTCCAGTGGCATGGGGGTACACTATACCAACCTTCTATAAGCGGAGACTTGGAGAGAGCTCTTCTGTCCTCAGGGAATGATTCAACCAGTCTTTTGAACAATCTCCCCAAATCTGAATAACTCCTGTGCAAATACAAAACGTTTCTGTCTGACCACTCTGTTCTGATCTCGTAGAATTCTTCTTCCTCTCCTCGCTGACTTATGATCAGTCTCCGGATCCCGTTCACCCAGCAATCCTTGACAAACATGTTGACCAGAGACGTCCCCTCGAATATCGCCGATGCCATTCCTCAGCAGTCAGTCCAGCATTCTGGGAAGGAGGAGTGGGACGTTGGAGTGAAGTCATGGACGTTGGAATAACATTGCACCCTGAACCGGGTAAAATAACTATATCGTAAACAAATCATTAACTTGTAGGCCTATGGGGTAAAAATGCTAATATAACGAATAGTGGCCAACACCACTTCATAAACTTCTGACCTAACTCTAAAACCGTTACAATGTAGAAAAACAGCTTAATTATTTCAGTTTCGCTTGCTCAGCCCATCACAGACGCAATCTTAAACGTGGCACTGTCACCGCCTTCATAGTCATTGGTCACCACAGGGTAAAAAATAATGGGTTTTTACTTGACGAGATAATCCTCCCAGAATTAAAATGAACTCAAAAATAGCTATTTAGCTGTTGTTCAATTACTATTATTTATGGACTAGTCCGCTTTAAGTTCAGGGTCACAGATGATGACGCCTTAAAAAAAGTGAGTTACCGTTCCCAAAATTATGTTAGTATTGTTTTATCGTCTTACTGTTCTTCTACGAGTCTTCTGATTAACTTCATGCGTAGAAGTGAATGCAAAAGAGTTGCATATTCGATGTGCTGTTCAAGGCTTCACTCCCCTGACAGTTTGTCGAGGTTTGCCTTAAGAGGATGCATCTTGCACACTGATTCTAGAGTATTCGTCTGTTTCCTCCCCTCGCAGAAGTTGACTCCTCTACCCTCTCTCCCTCCCCTGTTCTTCTTCTTCCTCCCTCCTTGTCAACAGTGTGGATACTATGTAAGGAATGCAACTGCCCAAAGAGAGACCGAATTGTCCATGTAAACTGCCTAGGCTACTTCAAAACATGCATTTATTTTCTTTCTGATGTACAGTTATGTTCACAAGTTATAGTATGTTAATGTGTGTCAACCTGGACTCAGGGGTAGATGTAATAACCCTCATGAAAAAGTACTACTGAATTACTACTCACTACTACACAAGATCTACACAAAACCTACTGGTTTTACTACTTGATTGCTATTGAGATGTGTAGTAAACCAGTAGTGAGTTATGTAGTAATTTCAGTAGTAATGAGTGATAAATTGGGACGTTTCACTAATTCTCCCTTAATGACTACTGTGTAACTACTGAGCTTTTGGGTATCTACTACTTAAAGCCTACACATACCTACACAATTCCTACATGTTAACTATGAATTAACACGTAATGCCTACACATTACTGCTGTATGCCTACTCAATCCCTATTGAATTACTACTGCCATTTGTGTGTGTAGTGTTGTGTCACTACTGATCACTGCTGAATTGCTCCTTATGCTTTTTCATTTCCTACATAAAAACTTTCGAATTACTATTGAAAACGGACACATTTACTACTGTTTGCCTATTCAAAATCACTATTGACATCTTGTTTCACTACTGTGTCACTACTAGACGAGTGCACATGTTATTTCCTCAAGTTTCTAGCTAGTTATACAATCAAACAATAAATAATAAACGTATACAAATGTAATTGAATTTGTTTTAGTTAAAATTAATTACATATTAAATGACATATTTTCACTTTTTTGTTAATCGCTTTGAGACCTTGTCTTCATTCAGCTTTTACTTAACTATCTTCAGATCCTCTTTTTTGTTGCAACCACATTTCTCCACCTCGTAACATTTTAGAATATAAAGACAAGCACAAGAGACAACCAATTATAATCCATTATCAATCATCTGCTAACACATAAGACAACACAGAAAAACATTTGATAAACAATGTTAATCTTACCAACAATGGCCTCCAGTCTTCTTATGTCGAGGACCTCCTTGGCAACAGGTCAAAAGAGGTAAGTAGAATGGGTAAGTATACCAATATGAACATACTACTCTACATTTGCATACAACACACATACAGTCCCTTCAGAAAGTATTCACACCCCTTGACTTTTTCCACATTTTGTTGTGTTACAGCCTTTTTTTGTCACTGGCCTATACACAATACCTAATCATGTCAAAGTGGAATTATGTTCTTAGACATTTTTGCAAATTAATTAAAAATTAAAAGCTGAAATGTCTTGAGTTAATAACTTTTCAACCCCTTTGTTATGGCAAGCCTAAATAAGTTCAGGAGTGAACAGTGCTTAACAAGTCACATAATAAGTTGCATGGACTCACTCTGTGTGCAATAATAGTGTTTAACATGATTTTTGAATGACTACCTCAGCTCTGTACCCCAGACATACAATTATCTGTAAGGTCCCTCAGTTGAGCAATGAATTTCAAACACAGATTCAACCACAAAGACCAGGGAGGTTTTACAATGCCTTGTAAAGAAGGGCAGCTATTGGTAGGTAGGTAAAAATAAAATACATTGAATATCCCTTTGAGCATAGTGAAGTTAATAATTACACTTTGGATGGTGTATCAATACACCAGTCACTACAAAGATACAGGCGTCCTTCCTAACTCAGTTGCCGGAGAGGAAGGAAACCATGAACCAATGATGACTTTAAAACAGTTACAGAGTTCAATGGCTGTGGTACAAGAAAACTGAGGATGGATCAACAACATTGTAGTTACTCCACAATACTAACCTAATTGACAGAGTGAAAATAAGGAAGCATGTACAGAATAAAAATATTCCAAAACATGCATCCTGTTTGCAACATGGCACTAAAGTAATACTGCAAAAAAATGTGGCAAAGCAATTAACCTTTTGTCCTGAATACAAAGTGTTATGTTTGGGGCAAATCCAATACAACACATTGCTAAGTACCACTCTCCATATTTTCAAGCATAGTGGTGGCTGCATCGTGTTATGGGTATACTTGTAATCGTTAAGGACTGGGGAGTTTTACAGGATAAAAAATAAACAGAATGGAGCTATGCACAGACAAAATCCTAGAGGAGAACCTAGGACAGTCTGCTTTTCCACCAGACACTGGGAGATTAGTTCACCTTTCAGCAGGACAATAACCTAAAACACAAGGCCAAAGCTACACTGGAGTTGCTTACCAAGAAGACAGTGAATGTTCCTGAGTGGCCGAGTTACAGTTTTGACTTAAATCTGCTTGAAAATCTATGGCAAGACCTGAAAATGGTTGTCTAGCAATGATCAACAACCAACTTTACAGCGCTTGAAGAATCTTTAAAAGAATGATAGGAAAATGTTGCACAATCCAAGTGTGGAAAGCTCTTAGAAATGTACCCAGAAAGACTCACAGCTGTAATCCCTGCCAAAGGTGTTTCTAACATGTATTGACCCAGGGGGTTAAATACTTATCTAATCAAGATATTAGTGTTTTATTTTTCATAAATGTTTTACAAATGTTAGAATTTTTATTCCACTTTTACATTACATTTTGTGTAGATCATTGACAAAAAATTACAATTTAATTCATTTTAATCCCACTTTGAAACAAAACAAAATGTGAAATGAGTCAAGGTGTGTGAATACTTTCTGATTAGCTAGCATGACGAAAACAGAGGCTACATAGCTACATTTCAATGGGGGTAGCAAACAACTAGGCTAAACACAAGACTGTTTTGGATATCAATGTTTTTTTATGTGGTAAAAAGTTATACAAATGGCTAAACAACGACATGAAAGTATTCATAAAACATAAAGGAAAGTTAAATTTACAGATGGTGCCAGGACAATGCTATGAAAGACAGGATGACGAAGGATGGAAGATCATTAGCCGGTGTAGTCTGGCTGTAGAGTTTTGACATCAAATAGTACAACATCAAATAGTACAAATCTGTAACTGATTACTACTGGAAACACTACTGTTTTCCTACTGAAAACTACAAAACTCTACTTGTGTATCTTGAGTAGTGCATAAACTACACATTCACTACACAATCCCTACAAGTTTCTTCATAGTCACTACAGTACGAATAGGTTTTGTGTAGTAATTCAGTAGTAATTTGTCATGAGGGAACATAGTAAACGTAAATCTATCTCCCTCCATTTAGTATGATACACTTTGTATACAAGAGTATGTGGACACCCCTTCAAATTAGTGGATTCGGCTATTTCAGCCACACCCTGTTGCTGACAGGTGTATAGAATCAAGCACACAGCCATGCAATCTCAATAGACAAACATTTACAGTAGAATGGTCCGTACGATTCTGTGCTTCCAACTTTGTGACAACAGTTTGGGGAAGGCCATTTCCTGTTTCGGCATGACAATGCCCCCATGCACAAAGCAAGGTCCTTTCAGAAATGGTTTGTCGATCGGTATGGAAGAACTTGACTGGCCTGCACAGAGCCCTGACCTCAACCCCATCGAACACCTTTGGGATGAATTGGAACGCAGACTGAGAGCCAGGCCTAATCGCCCAACATCAGTGCCCAACCTCACTAATGCTCTTGTGGCTGAATGTAAGTCCCCGCAGCAAAGTTCCAACATCTAGTGGAAAGCCTTCCCAGAAGAGTGGAGGCTGTTATAGCATCAAAGGGGGAACCAACTCCATATTAATGCCCAATATTTTGGAATGAGATGTTCGACGAGCGGGTGTCCACAAACCTTTGGTCATGTATTGTATGTTACGTTTCATATGGTATGCATTAATTTGTTGATGTCCATCATCCATTTTCGTATGATATGTTACGAATTACAATTTGTATGATATGTTACAAATTTGCAACAAGTATGATATGTTACAAATTCCAATTTGTTGTTGCTAACGTCAGCTAGGTGGCTAACTCTAACGTTAGCTAGGTAGCTAATGTTACCTAGGCTAGGGGTTAGGGTTAGGGTTAGGACTTAGGTTAAGGGTTAAGGGGTTAAGGTTAGGGTTATGGGAAGGGTTAGCTAACATGCTAAGTAGTTAAAAAGTAGTAAGTAGTTGCAAAGTTGCTAATTAGCTAAAATGATAAACCTTTGGGTTTCTAGACGTTCGCGTTATACGCTCACCCATCCACCCCGACCAACCACCCTCCTTTTGTTTTTGCCTTAAGTAAGGGAGCAGTCGAACTTTACACAATTGTTACCCTGGGAGGAAAATGGGGGAGGG